ATTAAATTATACAGTAAAGCATAGTCACATGCAGACACAGACAATCTTGCTGATGCAAACAAATAGGCTCATTAACAGACAATCTCAATTACACACACAGAAAAGGTTACTGGTACACACACAAATTTAGTACAGACAAACTCTGATACACATACAAGCTTACTACAGACAAGATCACTGCACACACATGATCCCTACAGACAAGCTCACTGACACACAGACAAGCTCACTCACTAGCAGGCACACACACAAACTCACTAGCAGGTGCACACACACAGATGCTCACTCACTAGCAGATGCGCACACACACACACAGAAGTTCACTCACTCACTAGCAGATGCAGACACACAAAGACATCCACACACACAGAGGCAGACATCCACACACACAGAGGCAGGCACCCACACACACACACACACACACACACAGAGGTAGACATCCACACACACAGAGACAGGCAGACAGCCACACACACACCAAGAGCCACACACACACACAGGCAAACAGTAAAACACACACAGGCAGATAGCCACACACTCACACAGGCAGATAGTCATACACACACAGGCAGATAGCCACACACTCACACAAGCAGCTAGTCATACACACACAGGCAGATAGCCACACACACACTCACACACACACACACACACACACACACACAGGCAGACAGTCATACATACACACAGAGGCAGACAGTCACACACACACAGACAGTGTCACAAACGCACACAGGCAGACAGTCATACATACACACACAGATAAAAATACAGAGAGAGTAAGCGCTAAATAACACAATAGGCAGCAACCCTTAAAAAAGGGAAATCCCTCAAAACCCTTTAGAATGTTAGGAGAAATACAAAAATGGAGGAACAAGGGCTGTGCCAAGTAAGATAATGGTGGTGAGACAATGTCTGGAATAAAGGATAAAAGGGCAAAAGGGTAGAACAATGGGGAGAAAAAAAAATGCAGTCTTCACTGAGTTGATTGTGAAGTGAGGCCTGAGAGTGATGGGAACAATGTCCTCGCTGTTCTTCCCCAGGGGGATCCAATATTATGAAACGATAAAACAGATACAAGAACCAAATAGTGTAGTACGTCCAATATGGTACAAGAAATAAAAAGAAGATAGGTAATGCACTCACATGTATTAGAGCTATAGCTAGCTCTTAGTATAAAAGGCGTACAGCGGTATGATCCCCGCTTATGGGATATGGTGCAGGCTTCTTCTTCCAAGGGTATGTTCCACACTAAGGTCAGTGGGCACCACTCCCTGCCTCCACTACTTCCTCCAATTTGTCAGTTCTGAATAGGACTCAAGATACATCACCAATCTTTTCACCATCTGTTTGTGATACAAATTGAGTTGCACATTGATCTCTATCTAAACATTCCTCAGTAATAGTAGTGTAAACATTAGGGTGAAGCCCAGGAGTATTCACTAAGTTGAAAGTTTGAAGGGAACTGATCTTATTTGTCTATTTTGGCGCAACCTTTATCTTTGTTTGTTTTTTATCCTTATTGTATTTGAGGGTTTTTTGAGGGATCCCCTTTAGAGGTTGCAGCCTTATTTTTATTTAGCGCTTACTCTTTTTCTTGATTCAATAGTGCAATATGTCTGGTCCAGTGGGTAGCTAGTATATAATGATAATATTAGACTAACATTTGTGAGCATTATGACCAGCTCTGGCGTTAAGGGCGTACAGCGGTATGATCTCCGCTTATGGGATATAGTGGGTTTCTTCCTTCAGGTGATATATCCAGCACTCCGAAAGGGGGTAAAAAGAAACAACTGATAGTGTTTTCTGGGATAAAATATCAGTAGAAACTAGTATAAAATAATAAACTCACATTTGCATTTACACACAGAGGCAGACAGTCACACACACACACACACACACACAGGCAGACAGTCAAACATACACACAGAGGCAGTCACACACACACAGACAGTGTCACACCACACACACATACACACATACAGTACACACAGAGTCATACATACACACAGAGGCAGACAGTCATACATACACAGAGGCAGTCATACATACACACAGAGGCAGACAGTTATACATACACACAGAGGCAGACAGTCATACATACACACAGAGGCAGACAGTCATACATACACAGAGGCAGTCATACATACACACAGAGGCAGACAGTCATACATACACACAGAGGCAGACAGTCACACACACACACACATACAGTGTCACACACACAAACACACACACACACACAGGTAGACAGTCATACATACACACAGAGGCAGACAGTCACACACACACAGAGACAGTCACACACTCACAAGCAGTCACACACAGACACACTGACTTGCTTCTCACCTTCACATCCCTTGGAGCTCCAGGAGGCTGGTTGTTGGGGAAGCAGGGACTCCTTCCTGCTTCCAATGCTGCATTAACCAGGCCCCCTGCCGCACGCTAGCGCCGCCCCACCGCATTTTTTTGTTACACATGGCTGGCCAGGATCACAGGAGCCTGAGCAATGATTAGGGCTGTCAGAAATTTCCCGGTATCCCGGTGGGCCAGTCCGGCCCTGCCTGTGTGTCACTTTGTTAGTACTAGTAGGAGTTGATACAAGTCATAGAAATATTTTAATGGAGATAGGCATTTTCATACTTATACATTGTATTATTATTTTTTTAATTTTACCTCAAATTCAGTCGTTTTACACCGAGGAACTTGCTCTCAATGATAAAATATAGAAAGTCAGTTTCAGATCAACTTGAGAAAGCACAGAAAACAATTAAATGTTATTACACTTGCAATACTTTGGTCCAGGATAATTGAATCATCCAAATAATTGAATTCCACTAGTGTTATTGGATTAGTTGTCCATTGCTGCTAGTGTTTCTTTGATGTCGTTTTTATGGTCATTTAAGGATGGGTGCTAATATCATTGCCAAACCTATTTTTTTCTAAAATGTTATTACTAAATAAAGCACAATGAATAACTAATGCAATGCATTGCAATGCAACAGCCATCTGTAAATTACGCATCAAAGTGTTTCTGTCCTTTGAAAATGTTCTTTACATAAATCAGTATAAACTAATTTTCCATAGACATTAAGGTTAATTTTGTCTCTGCAAGCTATGGTAAATTGTGATGTAATTCTTATGTTTGTCACTGTTCTTAATGGATTTGGCAATCTTGAGGATGCATAGCAATTTTGAAACATTAAGGTACAATTTTATATATATATATATATTATAGACTGCTGAGAGCAAATGTAGCCAATCTGAACCTATGGTGGAACTCATTAGCGTTTTCCCATCATTCCAAAAGGCAAGGAAATATGTTTTTTTGCAATGCCTGACTATGGTGTGCACCCAAAGTCCCCAAAAAAAAAGGATGATTTATAAATTTTTTATTTTATGTAAAAAAAAAATGGAAAATGTAGAACAATAGTATGAAAATTCTTAGCACAGGGTTCTGCATTGGCAGAACCCGTTAAAGTACAGAAAAAGGAGGCTCTCATTTTATCTTTTATATCGGAAATGGTGCTGGTGGACTAATTGGTAAAATTTACAAAATTTAGTATATGCCATAAAAAGCAGCTCCAAGCCTAATAAGTCAGTGGTGGAGATTTTGTTTCAAAATATTACCAGACAGTGCATTAACCTTCCAGTACTCCATTTTTAGTGCAGGTTGTAAAATAATGGTTGACCGCTTTTAGGAGATTTAACCACTTAAAGACACATGATTGAATTTTCTGTCATGCTGACCTTTTATTTCTGAAGCTGTGTCCTTAAGGTGTTAAAGGAACACTGTAGGCACCATAACCACTTCAACAGATTGAAGTGGTTATGGTGCCTGGAGTCCTGCATCACTACTAAACAGTTTACTCACTGTTTAGTAGAGGTTTTTAATCCCCAGGCTAAATATGGTAGAGGTGGAACTATGCTACCCCCATTTCACAACTAACCACCTCCCTTATATTAGATTTTCCCCTTGCACAATAATAATTTACATTAATTAAGTGTTAATTTTTTTTTAATGATGCTGCATGGTGAATCTCAAACCAAGCAGTTACTATTCATTTTATTCTGGAGTTTTAATATTTATTTAGCATATATAGATTAGGGGATGGCAGACTGGATGGCTGCCCACACACTTTACTGCAAACCCTTTACCTGCCAGCCATGGGTAAGGGACATATGGGTGATCCATTCCAGCCCTACCTCACTATATTTAACTGTCTATTCCTATTCCTCAGTCCAGTGGAGGGGTAGGTTGTGGCAGGCTGGCTAGCTACTCAAGCGCTTCCATTTTAACCCCTTACCTACCTCTCACCTACCTTATTTTAAAATATTGATCCTCTTCAGCCTAGGGCTCAAGAGATGGGTGACAGAGATACAGTGACCACTTGCTTATGCATTAACCCTCTCACAACATGTTTTGATGTAAAAGGTGCAGGAACTGCTCTCTGGGTTTCACCATATTAGCACCTTGAGTACTAGAAGTATAGATAAACTGCACACCTATGACACATTCAGTTTCCTTTTCCCCTAATTTACCATAACATTATGTAATAAAAGCATTTATATCTAGAGCATACAATCCAGCTAACCTTTAATGGTCATACTCTCCCTGGGTCATACGGAGCAACATAAGATTTTGCTTAATCCAGACACAGTTTATTAATTGTCACATGGTATAGAAGGGAAGGATAAGCGCTAAGATATCTGGCTAGGAAAAGTGATATATATAGAGGCGGCAGCTAACCCCAAAAGTAGGGATCCCTCTTGTCCTACTAATGGAAATAAAACACAGAAAAAGGAGAAAGCTAGAGGTAGCGCCACAATATGGATAAAGACAGTAAAATATACAATATAAAATGTTGAATAGTGATGTCCCGAACGGTTCGCGGAACGGTTCGCGGAACGGTTCGCGGAACGGTTTGCGAACGGTTCGCCACGAATGGTTCGCCACGGACTCATCATTGAGTAAACTTTGACCCTGTACCTCACAATCAGCAGACACATTCCATCCAATCAGCAGCAGACCCTCCCTCCCAGACCCTCCCACCTTCTGGACAGCATCCATTTTACATTCATTGTGAAGCTGCATTCTTAGTGAGCTGTCCAGGAGGTGGGAGGGTCTGGGAGGGAGGGTCTGCTGCTGATTGGCTGGAATGTGTCTGCTGACTGTGAGGTACAGGGTCAAAGTTTACTCAATGATGAGTCCGTGGCGAACCGTTCGTGGCGAACCGTTCGCGAACCGTTCGGCGAACCGTTCGGGACATCACTAATGTTGAATAGACAGAAATGCTTTAGAAGCTATAATATAGCACACACATATATACTGAAGTCCCAAGAGAAGCAAAACTGTCCAATATTATGAAGTCCAAGTTTGTAGTGTAAAAATACACTTGCAGAGCTGTAACTAGCTCCAGTATGAATGGCATACAGAGGTACAATCAGTGGCGTACATACCAGGGTCGCAGGGGTCGCGGCTGCGACCGGGCCCGGCCCACCAGGGGGCCCGGCCGCCCCTGCGACCCGGTATGTACGCCCAGCCTCTTCCCCGGGGGGCCCAGGAGCCGACCACCCCAGGGCCCCCCGAGGCTGGCCCTGCTGACCCCAGGCATGCGAGTGGCCGGTCGGGCAGGCGGGCGCGCGAGGGAGCACTCACTGCTTCCTCTTCAGCTCCCTCGCACACCGCACTGATACCGGAGCCGGAAGATGACGTCATCTTCCGGCTCCGGCATCCCTACGCGGCGCGCGAGGGAGCTGAAGAGGAAGCAGTGAGTGCTCCCTCGCGCGCCCGCCTGCCCGACCGGCCACTCGCCTGCCTGGGGTCAGCAGCACCACTGGACCCCAGGGAATCCCCCCAGCACTCCAAAAGGTAAGGAGGCTGGGGGGATTACATTTAAAAAAAAAAAATAGTGTTTGAGTGTGTGTGAGTGTTAGTGTGTGTGAGTGTTAGTGTGTGTGAGTGTTAGAGTGAGTGTTAGTGTGTGTGAGTGTTAGAGTGAGTGTTAATGTGTGTGTCTGCTAGTGTTAGTGAGTGTTAGTGTGTGTGAGTGTTAGTGTGTGTGTCTGCTAGTGAGTGTTAGTGTGTGTGTCTGCTAGTGAGTGTTTGTGTGTGTGTCTGCTAGTGAGTGTTAGTGTGTGTGAGTGTTAGTGTGTGTGTCTGCTAGTGAGTGTTAGTGTGTGTGAGTGTTAGACTGAGTGCTAGTGTGTCTGCTAGTGAGTGTTAGTGTGTGTGAGTGTTAGAGTGAGTGTTAGTGTGTCTGCTAGTGAGTGTTAGTGTGTGTGTCAGTGTGAGTGTTAGTGTGTGTGTCTGCTAGTGAGTGTCAGTGAGTGTGTTACTGTGTGTGTCTTACAGAGTGTGTGTGTTAGTGAGTCTGTTTGATATCTGTTAGTGAGTGTGTGCTTGTCAATGAGAGTGTATGTTTTGTGAGTGTGTATGTATGTCTGTCGCTGACTGTGTCTCTGTCAGTAAATGTGTGTGTATGCGTCTGTAAGTGTGTGTGTGTGTGTGTGTCTTCAGCACTTACCTTTCTCCAGCGCTGGGGATCCCTCAGCCTCTCAGCTCCGAATGCGACTGCGCACGCATTCAAACCGCCCATAGGAAAGCATTACTCAATGCTTTCCTATGGACGTTCAGTGTGCTCCTCTAGCGGCTGTCAGTGAGACAGCCACTAGAGGCTGGATTAACCCTCTGTGAAACATAGCAGTTTCTCTGAAACTGCTATGTTTTCAGCTGCAGGGTTAAAACTAGAGGGACCTGACACCCAGACAACTTCATTGAGCTGATGTGATTTGGGTGTCTGTAGTGGTCCTTTAAAGGACCACTATAGTGCCAGGAAAACATACTCGTTTTCCTGGCACTATAGTGCCCTGAGGGTGCCCCCACCCTCAGGGGCCCCTCCCGCCCAGCTCTGGAAAGGGGAAAAGGGGTAAAACTTACCTTTTCCAGCGCTGGGCGGAGAGCTCTCCTCCTCCGATCCTCCTGTATGCGCTGTGCGCGCGCAGAGCTGTGCGCGCATTCAGCCGGTCACATAGGAAAGCATTCATAATGCTTTCCTATGGACGCTGGCGTGCTCTCACTGTGAAAAATCACAGTGAGAAGCATGCAAGCGCCTCTAGCGGCTGTCAATGAGACAGCCACTAGAGGAAATAGGGGAAGGCTTAACCCATTCATAAACATAGCAGTTTCTCTGAAACTGCTATGTTTATGAAAAAATAGGTTAACCCTAGCTGGACCTGGCACCCAGACCACTTCATTAAGCTGAAGTGGTCTGGGTGCCTAGAGTGGTCCTTTAAGTGTGTGTGCACCTGCATGCACTGGCGTACATACCGCGGTCGCAGGGGTCGCAGCCCTGTAACCCCTGCGACCAGGTGCCCACCGCCATGTGTTGCGGTCCGGCCCGCGCGCGCGGGGGGCCCACGGATCAATTTTCGCACCGGGGCCCCAGGGGTCATGTGTACGCCACTGGGTACAATCCCCACTTGCAAGGATACGTGAGGGTAGTGTCTTTGTTGTATGTGTACCCTACAATATAAAAAGAAACAACAATAGTGCTCACTGAATAAAATACCAGGAGTTGGAAATGAAATGAAGAATGTACTCACATTTACCAGAACAGGCAAACTGTTCTATGGATAGGGTTTGGGTGGTATAATCCCCACCAAGGATGTTTTGAGAGTAGTAATCATCAGATATAAAAATTAGGTGCCAGGCAGTATGATGTAAAAATATAAATAGCAGCAATAATAAAATGTATAAGAAGAGTAAGATAGCACACCCTGTAATAGTGTAATATAAGCCAAAATATCTTTGTTCTTACAAATATGAAACAGTATAAAACAGCATAGGAAGTAACAACAACACGTTTCGTCTCAGGGGCTTTTTCAAGTTATCTTCACTTTTTTATTATTGCTGCTATTTTTATTACTTTTATCTCATACTGCCTGGCACCTGATTTTTTTTATCTCCCGTGAGTACTACTCTCAAGACATACTTGATGGGGATTACACCACCCAAGCCCTATCCATAGAGCAGTTCACCTGCTCTGGTAAATGTGAGTACGTTCTTCATTTATTTTCCAACTCCTGGTATTTTATTCAGTGAGCACTATTGTTGTTTGTTTTTATATTTCATGGTCCACATACTACAAAGACACTACCCTCACGTATCCTTGCAAGTGGGGATTGTACCACTGTATGCCATTCATACTGGAGCTAGTCACAACTCCAAAAAGCTTTGGTAGGACTATATCTTATTCCTTTTAGTTGTCCTCTGCTAGAACATACTACGTTATTATTCCTTTTCTGTTGTTTCATATGGATTCCACTGCTGAACTTACTCTGGTACTTCTATTTAAGGAATTGAGCAGATACTTTGTGGACAAGCACTCTCGGCAAGTGTATTTTTACACTACAAACTTGGACTTTATCATATTGGACTTTTTTCCTCCACTTGGGACTTCAGTATATATATTTGTGTGCTATATTATAGCTTCTAAAGCATTTCTGTCTATTCAACATTTTATATTGTATATTTTACTGTATTTATCCGTATTGTGGCACTACCCCTAGCTTTCTCCCTTTTCTGTGTCACATGGTATAGCCTGATATTTTAAAGCCAAATCTTAGCAAATTTTGCCATATTGTCAGGTAGAGAAACCGACAAGTTTTCCTTGACAGATACCACACTTTGACCTCAATTAAAAGAACCTTACCAAAGTATTTAATAGATTTGGAAAAACCTTTAAAATTATTTAATACTAACCTAATTGTTTGGAAAGCTTATCTACTGATATTAAATTGAGGCTTTTATACAATACAATATTACACATTACTGGGGCAGGCCCCTTCAATGTACAGTATTTTCATACCTCAGCCTAGCTAATGTATCAGTGATATCTTGGAAAATACCTTGCCATAAAATACTGTATTTTCTGGCATATAAGATGACTTTTTAACCCTGGAAAATCTTCTCCAAAGTCGGGGGTCGTCTTATACGCCAGGTATAGGGTCTATATGGCTGCCGGGGGCGCCCTGCGCCCCCATCGCCGGCCCTTCTAATGCTGCAGCCGCCTGAGCGCTCTATAGAGAGCGCTCAGACGGCTGCCGCACTGCCTCTCTTCTCACCTCCCCTTCCCTGTGCAGAGTGGGTGGCCGAGCTCCTCTTCGTCCTGTCAGTCCGGCCGGGTACCGCGCGGTACAGGAGATTCAGTTACCTGTTCCCGGCCGGACTGAAAGGAAGTGCACACTGAGTGCTCACTTCCTTTCAGTCGGGCCGGGAACAGGTAACTGAATCTCCTGTAACGCGCAGGAGGTGAGAAGAACGTAGGGAGGATTGGGGGGGAGGGGGAGTAAAAAGAATGGAGGGGGGGAGTAAAAAGAATATATCGCAATTAGCCTCCTGTGTGCTAGACCAGCAGGCATGGATTATATGCCCAAACAGCCTGGCACATACCTGGGCTTTAAATGCTATTTCAGATTATCATTATTTAATGTCTTGCTGTGTAGCTCTGTCTGCTCACTGTACATCATAGCTAATTTGTATTTGGTGTGCATTGGAAGAGGGGTAGTCTTATACGGCGAGTATATCCCAAACTCTATATTTTAACTGGAAAAGTTGGGGGTCGTCTTATATGCCCAGTCGTCTTATACGCCGGAAAATACGGTACCATAAAAGTGCCTAATGGGTGAAGACTGATGGGCATGCCCAAACCAAAGCCAAATAAAGTGGCTCTGTCACTGTTTGTAATTTTCAAAGACCCCCAACAGTGACATTGCTGCTGAGGATCCAGTGGATAGGGGTGCAGACAAAGCTGAGTTTAACTTACCTGAACCTGTCCCTTGTGGGTGCCACCATCTTGTTCCCGGTGGTCCTCTTCTGATGTCACTGCTCTACTTTTGCACCTGCAAAAAGTACAGCATTAAGGTCTATTGAGGTCTGTTACCAGGATACCATGGGGTCCTCCAAAGACAGAGCCAATTCCCTGCAGCAGTCACTGATGGGTGAGGGATTAACACTTCTAGATGGTAGTAGTTCTGCGAGTGTCTTGATGAGGTAGGAGTAGGAAAAATGTTTGTCTCAGTATATCGTTTAAAACCAGATGGAGTCAAAGCGCTTAAGAATATCTGCAGTGCTGCTGCACTACCCCCAAGTGATACAAATTAGCAA